CTCTCTCTCTCTCTCTCTCTCTCTCTCTCTCTCTCTCTCTCTGTCTGTCTCCCTTTTTCGGCCGGTGGTTCACGGTGGCATACGCGTCGCGCTATTTTCACAGCTTGCCGCTCTCTCGGGGTAGAAACCCCCGTGGAAACCCCTCCCTTGCCTATCCCCGCCGGTCTGTCGACTCTCTTTTTTTTCGAGTTGATCCTGACTCCGTGAAATCCGTGGCGTCGTGCGCGTTGAACTGTGACACCCGACCCCACCGACCGAAAAAAATAAATCCCGAAATTCCGAGCCACTCCAGAATCCGATCTCGCCGTTTTCCGTAGGCAAACGCTCTTATTTAACGTTGGAGAACCTTTGGCCGTTTGATATCGATATCGTGTGAACAAAGTGATTCGCGACATTGATCGAAAGTGCATGGATGTCGAGAATAATCCGTGTCGCGAATATCGAGACATCGATTCCTCAATAATCAGCAATAAGTGTATTTGTTATTTGTATTCGCACGGCCGGCATTTTTCTCTCGTGGTATTCCTCGTTTTTTCAGTGAGAAAACCTTCGGAATATTTCTAGCGTCTGTACACTGCTGCTTCAACACGAAGCATCGAAATATCGTGAGTATCGCGGCGGCTTTCCGGTTCTCTCCGATAACTCGGGAGAGCGTCGAAGGCGCCGAGACGGGCTTCTCGACTTCGAGATCGGCGGCCGCGCCGGTAATTTATGGCGACCTCTCTTTCTCGCTTTAGAGGAGAGCGGCGGATAAAATTATTTATCGGCGGCGGGAACGGAAACGACGGAGGCGATCGTAAAACGCGCTCGAGATCGGCCGAGAGCCGGCGAGAAGAGGAGCTGTCGCGATAATACGCCCTCGCCCTCGTCCTCTCTCGGACATCGGCACGTCCCAATGACAAGCGCGCGATCGATATAATGGAAGGCGATTGAGCATTGACTTTGTTTGCGCACCGAGCGTGTGCTAAACGCGATTTCGCACGAATTTTCGTACGATCGATCGCCGCGTGCCGCTGACAGCCACGTGCCACGTCGAAAATCGCGGTTCTCGCGGCATTAGCGACGTATTTAGGACGAGCTGTTCGAAACTTTGCCTTTTAATATCGCGATGTTCAAAAACGCCCGCTTTCAGCTCGATTTTGATGTTGGACTGTCTCGACGAAGGCAGATTCTACTGATTAATCGGAGTCGTGAAGTAACAATTTGATTGATTAATTATACACTGAGAAAAAAATATAGTTGCTTTCGGCGTCAATTATACTTTCTTATGATTTTAACCAGAAAAATAATTAGAAGAACCATCTTTCTAATAACACTTACTAAAACAATGGTTCTTCTAACTATTTCTGTGGTTAAAATCACAAAAGGGTATGGTTGACGCCAAAGGCAACTATATTTTTCTCTCAGTGTAGTTCTCGGGCCATTTTCCCGATTGTACCTTTGTGCATTATTCTTAAGAAGATGATGTTGAGTTAAAGATGTCGCTTTCTGTTTTGTTAGAACGCCGATATTATTGGATCATTATGTTTACGCACTGAGAGAAAAATATATGATATTTGGAACTATAATGGCATAGTAAAAAGATTATAGTTAGGAATATAATTTTTATAGTAAATGTTACCATAATATTTGTAATATTTACAATATTAGCATAGTATAACTGACTCGTGTAAAATTTTTACCAAGAATTATAATTATTTGAAATAAAAAATATAATAAGGTAGCAAATATTGAATGGTAAGAGAAATTAACTATTTTATATAGTCAATACAATTGGAATATTTGGCAAATATAGGT